GTCCCTGGAACCAGGACAGGGAGAGTATGTGGAGCTGTGTCCACCTGTGAGATGCATGTGGAGCTGGTCACAGAGACAAATCATTCAGCAATGAACCTGTGGTGTTTAGACCATCAGTGCAAGGTTAAAAAGACACCGAGGAAAATCACAGACACTTAGAACGTATTGTTATCGGGCATAGTTTTCATTATCTGAGCCATTTTATTGAAAAATTAGAAAATGCTGTGAAGAAACATGATGGCCTTGCATTTTCATAAAGTCACTTCAGTGCAAATAGTATAACACTCATAAACTCATACGAATTACACAGACACTGATGCACACAGCGCACACACTGACGCACCGACCCACATAAAATAGCACATATCAGGTAAAGCACACACAGATACATCTGCACACTGAACACAAAACTCACACATGATAAAATGCACACATGAATACACACTTTAACAGACATAGATTTATAACAAATACACAAGTACACGATGAGGAAGAAGGTCTGTTAGAAGATGTTTTCTGTGCAAGGAGAGGAAGTGCCGGCTGACTCAGGAAACATGTTCTCAGCCGCCCTCTGCACCTGCTCCCCACATGGGCCCCTGTGACCGGGGTCCTGAGCATCCCCTGAGCCCAGCCCCACCCTTGTTCCCTGAAGTGGGACTTTGGTGTCTGTGCTGGCACTGCACAGACTGTGTATGGACAGTGACATACAGCTGTGTCCTCGGTGGTCAAGGAGCTCAGCTGCAGGGAGAGCTGGTCCTTGGGCGTGTGTCTGGAGTCACGATTGTGCCCTGTAGGGAAGTTTGGGGTGTGCACCATCTCTGGTTCCCGGGCACCCCGTCCACTGCAGTCCCTCCTGGGCCTTCACCACTCCTGAGTCTGACTCGTGCAGCTCTCCTGGGACAGGACACCTGGGGACAAGGTGGACACTGTGAGTGAGGGACCCTCACCTTCCAGCCTCTTTAGACTCATAATCTGAGACACTCACAGAAGTGAGTTTCCATCAAGGAGAAGAAGATCCCCAAAGATGCTGTGTCCATGACAGGCTCCTGTCCTCAGGCTGACACTCACCTGACAGGTTTTCGCTTCCCGGGAGCCTGGTTCTCATTCACAAGTGAGAAAGTCCTTGTTCTGTGAGCAATGGGGACTCAGAACAGAGACTCAAAACATAAATGTGCACAGCCTCATAAACACACATGTGCAAAGACATTAACAAGTGAACATACATACACACACTGACACGCATGTGGGAATGTATATGTGCCCACGCAGTCATCCTGTCTTTGACAGGTGCAAACTAACATGTATACACACACGCTCACACTCACACACTCACACTGTCACACAACTTCCAGCACCACAGGAAAGGTAACCTGTCCCCAGGTTCCTGAGCTGCAGTTGAGGTGCTGGTCCCCAGGGCAGTGTGAGGAGCTGAACAGTGACCCTCCGGAATACGTAGAATCTTATCGCTGGGACCTGAGAGTGTTTTCTCAGATGACAGGACTGTGCAGACCTGACTGAGGGTGCTGACATGGGAGAGTACCCTCAATTATCCGGGTGGGACCAAACTGTCATCCCAAGTGTCCTTATCAGAGGGAAACAGAAGAAAATTGGACTGAGTAAAGTATTGTGATGGTGGAGACAAGATGATTCAGTGGGTTTCTACACCCACCTGAGTAAATGACGACCAACAGGGTAACGTGTTGTAGGAGGACAGAGACCTGTGGGTGGAGGTCCTGGGTGCTGATCCCCCGTGGGGCCAGGTGTGCCTGTGTGAAGGAAGGGACATATGGGGACCCCGTGGGCATGTGGGGGACAGAGAGCCTGAGCTCAGCACACAGGGGCCTGGGCTGCACTGGGGTCTCTCTGTGGAAAGTGTTTCCCAGCTACAGGGAGATGAGTCCTCAGGGTTGTCGCTTTATCAAGAAATAAGTAAAGGACACACAGGAACTTAGTGAAGGAGTGGTCCCCAGTCAGTGTGACATGTCATCTGCACACAGACAATGTCCCTTCTTCACGTGTTGTCTGCAGTGAGAGGAAGAGAAACGGACCAACAAAGAAGCAGCAAGTGTTGTCCCTGAGGGCAGCTGAGAGCTTTCAGAGGAAATCCCTGCTCCAACTAAGAGCCCCTTCCCCACCCAGGTCACACATCATCTGTGGGTGATGAGCGCCCCCTGGTGTCCCAAGCACCCCCTGCAGCCCAGCCCTCCTGTCCCCTGCAGGGAGGTTTGTGTCTGTGCTCACACTGACTTCCCCTCACTGTGCCCCTCGCACAGTAATACACGGCCGTGTCCTCGGCTCTCAGGCTGCTCATTTGCAGATACAGCGTGTTCTTGGCGTTGTCTCTGGAGATGGTGAATCGGCCTTTCACCGAGTCGGCATAGCTTGTGTCATTTCCACGACCATTGATGTATGCGACCCACTGCAGCCCCTTCCCTGGAGCCTGGCGGACCCAGTCCATGTAGTAGCTACTGAAGGTGAATCCAGAGGCTGCACAGGAGAGTTGCAGAGACCCCCCAGGCTGCACCAAGCCTCCCCCAGACTCCACCAGCTGCACCTCACACTGGACACCTGAAAACACAGAGAGGTCCTGGTAAAAAACTGTCACACACCCACTGTTTCTCTCACTCGTGTTCTCTCACATACTCAGCATCTCCTGTTCTCCATAAATCACCTCTTAAAATAGCCACAAGGAAAACCCAGCTGAGCCCAAACTCCATGGTGCGTCGTCTGTGTTCAGTCCTGATCACGGAATGGGGACACCTGGGGATCCCGGGGCTGGGGCTCCTGTCCCTGAGCTGCAGGGTCAGGGCTGGGCTGCTTTTCATCAGCAGAGGGGCCCCTATTTGCATGTCCTCCTTCTATATAGGGAGCTCCGGGGTTGGACACCTACAGAGAGGGCAGGGCCTCAGTGCAGGCGTGAGTGTCCTGGTTAGTTTGGTGGCCACGTGAGAGTTCAGGGAACATGACTCCTTATATGTCATGGTTTGGAGCAAAAGATCAGCACCCATTACCTCATTTTATTTCCATGTGAGCACCCTGAAAAAGTGACCGAGGTATCAACCCCACCTTCATTTTACAGAGGTAAAGCTACACACGGCAGCCCAGAGGAGCCATGTTTTGTGTCCAAGAGCACATATCAGCTAAGAGGGAGCCCCAGTACTCTCCCCATGGACCCCACTGTTCCCTCCCCCCACTCCAGGGCCAGGATGACCCTGCCAGGTGAGGTTCCAGAACCTCTTTCCAGTAATGAGAACATGTGTGATTCTCTGCATGATAGTATTTACCTAAGAATATAGAAAATTGAGGTTCCTGCATATGTATTTTCATGTAGGTGACATTTTGCATGGTATTGTCTGTCTGTAACTCTTTTCTTACCAATTGTCCATATTTTACTTGTAGTAGCTTTAATGATGCATATTTGACCATAGTAAACGGCACAGGTCAGCAGGATGCAGGTATCACCTGAATCTGTAGTCATTGTATTGGCCCTGGAAGCAAGGAGCACACGCAGGAACAGCCCCACCCACTGTCCTAACTGGGTCCTTCCCAGTGTCCCACCTGAGGGACCTGTGGTGATGCCCAGCTCAGGTGGGCTCCTCATGCAGGTGACTAACAGGCACGGAAAGAGCCACCATGGCAGGGACAAGGGACCCTGTCCGTAGTGTGGGGCTGTGATTTCATTGAGGGGGAAGGAACATGTTTAACTCTTAGTGAACCCACCAGGGTATATTTGAACTGCTCAATTTTGACGACATGTGGACCAGTTATGATGTCAGTATATAATTGAGTTAATGATAACTAAATCTACTTGTGTGTGAACGTAGCAGTGGGAAGATGTAAATGTATATCATCAACCCCACTGTATTTAGTGAAATGTCCACATGCGTATTCCTCAAAGCAGAGAATTAAAATAATCCCTTAACTCTCCTCTGACACTCAGTGACTGACAATCCACCAGAATCTCCAATCTGTCAATACTATAAATTAGATCCCTAATTGTATTTGAAAGTCGATGTCAGTTCTGTACACCTGTATGGCTTTCCTCACCGGCCTGCAGCGTCCCCACAGCACATCACTGCCCTGCGGAAACTGTCCATTGGGTCTCCACCAGGAGGTTGAGGAGGAGACCTGACCCCACTTCTCGTCACCTTCAGGCCCAGACCTCAGTGTTCACCTTCCTGAGCCTGCATATGCTGAGCTCTGCGGGCAGCTTGACAGCAGTGAGGGGCAGGTGTTCTCTTCTTCCTGGGGAGATGGCCATGGGGCTGGGGACACATATACCCCTAGGGAAGGGACCTCTGGCTGCACGTCCTGTAAGAGTGCAATCGCTGTTCACGCTGATGGTGGTGCACTCGCCCCGTGTACCTCTGGCTTCCTGACCTTCAAGGAGACCACAGAGATGGAAGTGTTGGGAAGATGCTTTTCTATCCTGGGACTCAGAGATCCTGAGAAGTTAGAGAGAGAGTCATGGAGCTGATGGAGGGGTTCTGGGTTTCAGGAACCACAAGGCCATTTACACAGGGTGTCTCTGCCTAGACAGCCAAGAAAAAGCTTCAAGAAGTTAATAGAATAATTGGTGAAATTATTAAAATCCATGATAACTGACATCAGGAGGAATTCTGTTATTCAAGGTTGATTATCTATGAAACATAAATCACTGCACTCCAAAACTCATGGTTATTACCCTGATTATAGGAGATGAAGGCATCACAGTGCCTGGCCCTGGGCAAGTGTGCACATTACCATGAAGACAGTGTGTTCTAAACAGGAAAGTTTAGAATGGGGAATACAGTCAACAGTATTGTAAAGACTCTAGGTAGTGTCAGATGGGTAGTAGTCTCATTGGGGGCTCACTTCATAAATTATATAAATGCCTAAACTCTACACTGTACACCTCAAACTAGTACAAGGGCTAACAATTAATTTCACGAACTTGTTACAATGATGTGGCTAATTTATTTTGATATCAGAGGGATTATTCATTATGAATTTGGGCCAACTGGACAAATAGTTAACCAAGTTTACTATTTGAAAGTGCTGAAATAACTGCATGGAAAAAAAGTTAGACAACCCGACTTTTCGCCAACAATTCATGGCTCTTGCATCATGACAATGCACCAGCTCACACGGCACTGTCAGTGAGGGAGATTTTAGCCAGTAAATGCATAACTATTTAAAGAGCCTCCCTGTTCACCTGAACTGGCCCCCAATTACTTATTTCTTTACCTAAAGATAAAGGAAATATTGAAAGGAAGACGTTTTCATGACATCAAGGGTAATACGATGATAGCTCTGATTGCCATTCCAGAAAAAGAGTTCCAAAATTGCTTTGAAGGGCAGACTAGGTGCTGACTTCGGGCATAGCTTCCCAAGGGGAGGACTTCGAAGGTGACCATAGTGATGTTCAACAATGAGGTATGTAGCACTTTTTCTAGGATGAGTTCATGATCTTAACTGTCAGACCTCGAATGTCAAAATGTGTTATAATTTAGGTTATGGAAATTTTGTTATTGAAAATATGATGTCAGTCTCTAATGTGGAAAAGCAGAGAACAAATGAAATCATCAATATTATAAAATAGCATCACATTTCCTTATCCATTGGCAGGAAACCAATGAACAATTGAAATTACCTCCAATTATTAGAATTTATTAATCCAACATTACACAAAAATGTTGACTTTCACCAATGCAATCTCATTTTCCAATATGGATTTGTGTCTATGTGGACATGTGACCTAGTCTAGTCAGGGGGGCAGGAGACAGGGTGTGTGGGGCTTCCTGGTTCTTCAACAGTTCATTTCAGTAGAGCCCTTTCCTCCCCTCCCAGAGTCCCCTTTCATGTCTTCATATGACCCTAGGGAACATGTCACTATGTCCATACATGGGGGGAGTTAACTGGAATTCGAAGCTGAGTCACAGGAAGTATCAATGTGCAAAACTGGGAAACGCACTCCCATGAATGTGAGTTAAAGTAACATGAATGGTTGAATTAACCAAGATCTAGGAAACACACATCTGGGATTCCAGTTTCATTTTGTCATGATTTCCCTCTTTGTTTAACCAGTTCAGGTTGCCTTCCTTTTTCTCTGAAACAGCCACTCATAATAATCTGGAGTCATTGAGATAAGAAAGCCCTGATTGGAAAGTTAGCCTGAGTTATAGGTTCTACATGAGGCCCAAAACTCTGTGTGGTGCATCTCAGACAGACACGAGTCAGGGCTGAATTCCAAGACTGTCTCACAATCGTTTCATCTTCAATAGGGAAAATTCCGTGCATACCTCCCATTTATCAGAGACTCTCATGGAGAAACTGAACCTAATATTATTAGTTGACGGGTCACACATCAATATTAAAACTGGAGGCTGCTAACCAGGACTTACTATAACACTAAAAGCTTTCCTCAGAATCTATTCCTCTGTCTGATACACAATCAGCCCAGAGGGTGGAAGTTACTGCAGGTGCTAGAATTTGTCAATTAGGGGAAAACTAGGAAATAAACACATAGGTTTGGGGAGCAGTGTATGATTTGGGGATGCTTTGCAAACAGAGTGGGTTCTCTTATCTGCAGGAAAGCCCATCACATGGACGAGTTGAGGAATTTCAGAATCACTGCTCCATCCTAGAGACTTGGCTGATGTGAGGGTGGAAGTCAATCCCAAAACACGTAACACGAAAGCTAAGAAAATGCTGTAGTGGATCAAGATGTCCAACCAGCAGCCTGAACCTGGGTTACAATCCTGTGTGAGCCCTGAGGGGATGCACGTATCTACAGACGGACTCAAAGCGTCGTTATAAAACATCAACGTTTAGCCCTTGATATTGACTGAAGCAATGAAAAACTTCTAGCTGTTTACTTGACTCCAAGAATTTTCATTCTCAACCCTGTGGCTTGTAGGAATCAGGAGACTTCAAATGCACCTTCTTAAATTTCTCTCTTAAATGACATTAAATGGTACAAACACACTGGCTGTTATCTTTACCAAGACAGCAGAGGTCATTATCTGCTCATGTGAAACAAGCAACAGCAAGTCCTGGGAAACTTGTAAAGTGGGACCTGACCAGGGACTAGTCCTCACGGGCCCTTTGCATCAAAGATCATTGTTTTGCTCTTGGAAGATATAGGCTATAAAGATAGACAGTGAGAACACCCTTCAGCATTTAAAATCCTTTATAACTGCAAACATTCAAGCATAGCTGCTTAAATTAATATAAGCACTGTTCGTAGTTACTGCTTTAAGTGTAAATGCAAAATGGTTATACTTTTAGAGGATGTGAGTATAATCAAAAGGCAGAACATCACATTTAAATGTGTGTACTGAGAGTAATACTCAAGTATTGTCTATTCTTTACCCAGCTTCTTAACTACACTCAGTTCATCTGCCTTTGCTGTATTTTAAATATTTCTCCTAAACACACTTCAGCTGAGGGTCCTGTCTCAGTTGTACTTCATGTCTTTCCCAGAACATTATCTCTCAAATGTCTGAGTCTACATGTGGGCTGGTCACAGACATGAGGAGTGACTAGCACCCCCACTCTGTTCCCTGTCCTTTGTGTCACCACAGCCACCCATGAGGTATCCACCACAGTTCTCTATACAGAAGGTTCCATCAGGATGACCTGTGTTGTAAGCTTTCTGCATTGTTAGAGAGTCACAGGGGTCAGCAGCCAGCTGTGCCCCCTTGTGACACAGGCCTGTCCCGCAATAGTGCCGCTGTCACCATGAATCATGTGTGTCTAGGACACATGGGCTCAGCAGAGCCACCTTCAGACCCAGTGAGTGTAACCCACCCTGGGATGTCCACAGATGGACACACATGTTAGATGAATTAGGAGATGACGATGGGGCACCTGAATTCCCACGTATGTACTGGACCTCCCTTCTGTGACGGGTACTGTGGATGAGCTGGGAGTGTGAGCAGAGCTCCAGCCCCATGGAGCTCAGGGTCTAGGCTGGATTTAGTGAGAATTAGGACAGTAGGTGACAGAAGGTGATGTTGGGGTGGTTTGAAACATACACGTGAGTAAATGAGGACCGAAAGGTTAACGTTGTGATGCTGTAGGGAGGACGGAGACCATGGGGGTGGACGTCCTGCGGGCTGAACATAATCCCATGGGGCTGTGTGCCTGTGGGAAGGAAGGGCCATGTGGGGACCCCGTGGGCATGTGGGGGGCAGAGAGCCTGAGCTCAGCACACAGGGGCCTGGACTGTCCTGGGGTCTCTCTGTGGGAAATGTTTCCCAACCACTGGGAAGACGAGAGCCCTCAAGGTCAGTTTTCTGTTGAGAAATGAAACGAGGACAAACAGGAATTCAGTGAAGTAACAGTCATTATCGCTGGTGACATGTCATTGTAAACAGTGTTTTCTCTTTGTGCCTTCTAAAAATAGGAGACATTAGAGTTAGAAAGATGATTCAAGACTCAGCCCTGGGGGCAGCTGAGAAATTTCAGAGGAAACTTCTGTTCCCAGCAGGAAGCCTCTTCCCCACTCAGGTCCCCACCTGCTCCTGGGGCCTGGTAGCTGTGTTCAGTGTGTCCTGAGCACCACCTGGTGTCCTGAGTGCCCCCTGGTGTCCCGAGCGCCCCCTGCAGCCCAGCCCCTCTGTCCCCTAAGGGAGGTTTGTGTCTGGGCTCACACTGACTTCCCCTCACTGTGTCCCTCGAACAGTAATACACAGCTGTGTCCTCAGAGGTCACAGAGCTCAGCTGCAGGGAGAACTGGTTCTTGGATGTGTCTCTGGAGATGGAGGTGCGGCTCTTGAGGGACGGGCTGTAGTATGTGTCCCCGTTGTTACATATGCACCCAATCCACTCCATCCTCTTCCCCAGGGGCTGCCGGATCCAGTGCCAGCGGTAACCACTGGTTGTGATGGAGACTTCATAGTCAGCACAGGTGAGGGACAGGGTCTGCGAGGGCTTCACCAGTCCTGAGCCCCACTGCTTCAGCTTCTCCTGGGACAGGACACCTGGGGACAAGGAGAATCAGTCTGTCACTCACGTGCAGTCACAGCCATCCCAGAGTCCCGTGTCTGACATCTGAGACCCTCACCTTGGGGGGCTGTCACCAGGCACAGGAGAAGACCCAGCAGCCTCATCTTCTTCTAGACCACAGCTCTGCCTTCCCCAGAGACCTCAGCCCTGTGTGAGGAGAGAGCTGAGAGCTCACAGCCCAAGGAGGGTTTTACCCTGGAGCCTGCAGAGAAATTTGCATGTGGGGCAGCCTGGTCCTGATAAGTGGGGAGGGACTGAGTCAGGTTCCCCTGGTCCTTCTTGGGCCCAGTAGGGTCTCTTCTCTTGAATTCACAGCATCTGATTCTGGGATGAAAGGGCTCATGGCCTATAAGATACATAGAAAAAGGTCAGAGAAATGCCCTGTTTTTCTGAGTATAAAAATAAATGCTGGATTAGTTGAGCAGATCACAGGTTTTTAAAACTTATGGATGTTTGTAATAATTATTAAAGTGATTATGATTATCATTATGTGCGACACAGTCTGACACCCAATTTATTAAATATATTCACAGTTCCCAAAATTTCATAGGTAATAATTCAACTAAAATAAATTTTGAGGTCAACTTTCTTGTAAATATGTCAGAAACACAGACAGTCCTCCCCACCCCTACTTCCTTTAAGCTCATGTGACTTCATTTTGTCTCAGTAGCTGCCTCCACTGCACAATCAGGCTGGAAGGTCCTCATTGTTGATGTTGGACAGTTTATACTGTGGTTTGTCTCACTTCTCATTAAGCAATAAATAGTCTTTACATATTATACACACTGCTTTATAAAGTATATATCTTATGACAGTTCGTAATGTGGAGCTTTATAATAATTTTTTTGAAATAAAGTTTTCAGAATCAAGCTTTACTTTTACTTTAAAGGCACATTGCCTTTTTATGGGCAGTGCTTCGTGCGTCATATCAAGGGCACCCTTGGATGACCCAAAGTCACACCTGTTCTGTTTCACTGATGTGTGTCTATCCCCACACCAATGCCACACAGCCTTGATTAGTGTCGCTACATCACAAGTCCCTTCCAGCTTTCAGACTTCTACCCATCACCTGCTTCCACAGTCCCTAACACCTTCTTAGGTATTTGTTACAGCAGCACCCCACTCTCAGACCAAAAATAGATTCATGTGCTCGAGCTGCCATCACAAGACCAATGACTGGGTGGCTTAAACAGTAGAAATTTATTTTCTCCCCCTCTGGGTGCTGGGAAGTCCAAGGCCAAGTTGCCAGATTAATTGATTACCGGTGGGAACTCGTCCTAATGGCCAGACAGCTGACTTCTCACTGTAATCTCATGTTGTGGAGAGAGGGTGACATCTCTCTTTCTCTCCCTATTCTTATAAGGCCACCAAACCTATCACATGAGGACCCCAACCTCATGACCTCATTTAACCATAATTATTTCCTACAAGCCCTTCTCCCAGCACAGGCCACTGGGTCTTAGGGCTCAAATTGTGAATGGTGGGGGATAGAATTCACTCCATAGCAGGATTCCTATTAGTAAATATCTGTGAAGCAGATGTAATGACCAGAGGGAAATAAGTCACAATCCTGATCATCCTGACACGTCCCCATGAGGAGTGGACACAGAAAAGTTCTTCAGAGTAACGAGGAAGCCACTTCTGTGGGAAGCTCACATGCTCCTTAGTCTATCCAACCAGGAAACCCAGAGAAATTCAAACACACGGGGTTCCCTAAACGGAAAATCTCATCACTTCTGATCACACCCACCTGCATCGACCCCTCTGAACGGACGTCTTCCTGAATATGACGAGGCTTCACAGCAAAGACCTTTACGTGGGTCTAAAGCTAAAGTCACCAGCAGACCAAAGCTGTCATATCAGGGCCCTGTGCAAAATCAGTGTGAGGGACCCTTGTTAAAGTTTAAGAATTTAGTGACCCTGAGAGCAAAGCATTCTCTCAGTAATGCACAAATCCTGTTTTTCAGTTGTCTTCAGTTGAATGGCTTTAAAGTGACCCCCACATCTTTAACCTCATTCTGCAACAAGAAAGTGTCTCTTCTTCTTGTGATACCAAGTTGGGCCCCTCCCACCGTGTGTCCTGGTGCAGGACTGTGGAAGTGACCGGTCCCCCAGTGGTCACACTGAGCACACAGGCTGTATGAGGCAGGCACGTTATCACAATTCCTTTCCTTCCTTCAGACTTTTGGATGCAAGACTGACATCTAAGGTCAGTTTTTTTGTTCTAAGAGCAAAACAAATATGAAGACAGGCGATGAGAAAACCTTTCTGCATTTCCAATCCTTTTTAATTGCAAAAATTCAAGGAAAGCTGGTTGGTTTGATATATGTGAATTTTTTAAGCTTGCTCTTTAATTCTACAATCAAATTTATTGAAACTATTAGAGGTTGGGAGTGAATAAAGTGAGCATAAATATTTTAAATGTCTGTACTGAGAGTAATACTCAATTATTCTCTATTGTTTGTAAAACTTATTTTGTACATTCAGCTCATATGCCTGTTTTATATTTTTAATTTCATGTCCTAAACAATATTCCTGTTGTGAGGTCTGTCTGAGTCCTACTTCATGTCTTTCCCAGAACTTTAGCTCATAAATGACTGTCTCTACATGTGAGCTGGTCACTGAGACATGAGGAGTGACCAGCTCACCCACTCTTTTCCATGTCTTCTGTCTCACTATCACCACCCATGAGGTGTCCACCACGGTGCTCTGTACGGGAGGTTCCATCAGGATGTCCTGTGTCATAAGGCTTCTGCATTTTTAGAGTCACAGGGGTCAGCAGCCAGCTGTGCCCCCACCTGACAGAGCCCTGTCCTGCAATAGTGCCTGTGTCACTGCGAGGCATGTGTTTCCATGACATGTGGGCTCAGCAGAGCCCCCTTCAGACCCAATGAGTGTAACCTGCCCTGGGGTGTCCACAGATGGACACACATGTGAGATGAAGTAGGAGATGTAATGGGCGCAGATCAATTTACTGGACCTCCCTTCTGTGACGGGTACTGTGGGGGAGCTGGGAGTGTGAGAAGAGCTCCAGCCCCATGGAGCTCAGGGTCTAGGACAGATTTAGTGAGAAGTAGGACAGTAGGTGACAGAAGGTGATGTTTAAGTGGGTTTCAACCTCCACCCAAGTAAATATGGAATGAGAGGTAAATGTTCTGTAGGGAAGACAGAGACAATGGGGGTGGAGGCCCTGGGGGCTGATCCCCTGTGGGGCCACGTGTGCCTGTGGGAAGGAAGGGCCATGTGGGGAACCCGTGGGCATGTGGGGGGCAGAGAGCCTGAGCTCAGCACACAGGGACCTGGACTGTGCTGGTGTCTCTCTGTGGGAAATGTTTCCCAACCACAGGAACACGAGAGCCCTCAGGATGGTCTCTCTCAAGAAATAACAACAGGACACACAGGAATTTGGTGAAGGAAAGGTCCCTATCATGGTGACATGTCTTTCTGAACAGTGTTTCATCTTTGTTTATTGGATTCTGAGAATAGGAGACATAAGAGTCAGAAAAATGATTCAAGACTTGTCCCTGGGGGCGGCTGAGGAATTTCAGAGGAAACCTCTGTTCCCAAAGGAAATCCCTTCCCCACTCAGGTCCCCACCTGCTCCTGGGGCTGGTCCCTGTGCTCAGTGTGTCCTGAGCACCCCCTGGTGTTCCAAGCATCCCCTGCAGCCCAGCCCCCCTGTCCCCTGCACGGAGGTTTGTGTCTGGGCTCACACGGACTTCTCCTCACTGTGTCCCTCGCACAGTAATACACGGCCGTGTCCTCGGGGGTCACAGAGCTCAGCTGCAGGGAGAACTGGTTCTTGGACGTGTCTCTGGAGATGGAGGTGCGGCTCTTGAGGGACGGGCTGTAGGCAGTGCTCCCACTATAACTAATGCGCCCGATCCACTCCAGCCCCTTCCCCGGGGGCTGCCGGATCCAACTCCAGTAGTAACCACTGGTGATGGAGTAACCAGAGACAGTGCAGGTGAGGGACAGGCTCTGCGAGGGCTTCACCAGTCCTGGGCCCGACTCCTGCAGCTGCACCTGGGACAGNACTTCCACCAGGACCAGACTTAGTCGGCACCTTGATTGTCAACTTTCCAGCCTCCTCAGCTCTGAAAATCAACGACTGTTGTTAAAACCGCGTCACTTGTGGTATTTTTCTGACAACTGAGTGAGAAAGCTTGATAGTTTTGATTAAATAAAAGTATTTGATAATTTCATAGAAAAGAATACATGTGTGAGTGATTGATAAATATGAAATAAAATGAGATGAAGGTCCAGCCGAGTGGCTCGTTGGTTGAGAGCTGGCGTGGGACGCTAACTTTGACCATCAGGACCCCGGTTTGGATCCCACACGAGGGCCAGTGACACTGCCATCTACAGCTAACATGGTGAAAAATAGCTCGACCTGGAGCTGGGCTGCTGTGAGCGGCCAGCAGCTGGCCTGAGCTGCCAAGAGTCACCATGAACGGCCATCCAGGGCCCAGTGACCGATCTGCCTCAGCCGCGAAGAGCGCAATAATCATAATACCAACATGGGCCAGTGAAGGGACGTCCTCCACAACTAGACGGAAGAACAAAAGGACAGCAACTTGTCTGTTCCCCTTCCCTGATTCCCCAATGTTTCCCTCCCCCAATTCCCCAATAAAATCTTAAAAAAAAGAATTAGGACAGTAAATGACAGAAGGTGATGGAGGGCAGGGGCTTTCAAATCCACCCAAGTAAAAGAGGAATGAGAGATTATTGTGTTATAGGGAGAATAGAGAGTACGTGGGGTGGAGGTCCTGTGGGCTGAAAATTATCCTGACGGGCCAGGTGAGCCTGAGGGTAGGAAGGGCCCATGTGGGGACCCCATGGGCATGTGGGGGGCAGATAGCCTGAGCTCAGCACACAGGGGCCGGGACTGTGCTGGGGTCTCTCTGTGGGAAATGTTTCCCAACCACTGGGAACAAGAGAGCCCTCAGGGTGTTCTCTCTCTCAAGAAATAACCACAGGATACACAGGACTTATGTGAAGGAAAGGTCCCCATCACTGTAGAATGTCATTGTAAACAGTGTTTCCCCCCGTATGTTAGCTGCTGAGAATAAGAGACATTAGACTCACAAAGTAGGTTCAAGACATGTCCCTGGGGGCAGCTGAGAAATTTCACAGGAAATCTGTTTCCA